CTTAAGGGTGGTGTAATGATCTAACCTAGCTCTGAATCTTCCTTAATGGTTGATGTGAAAGTGAAGCAACACCTTGATCCCATATTGATGGAGTTAAAAGACTCAGTTTTTGGGAAATTCGTTGAAGCTTTCTCCCAAGAGGGAGATGGTGTACTTAGGTATCAAGGTAGGTTATGTGTACCGGATGCGGATGACTTACGAAGGAAAATTTTGGAAGAGGCCCACGTTTTGCGATACTTCATTCATCCGGGTGCCACCAAGATGTACTGCGACTTGTGGGAGGTCTATTAGTGTAATGATTTAAAATGGGACATAGCAGAGTTTGTGGCTAAATGTCCAAATTGTCAACAAGTCAAGGCCGAACATCAAAGGTCGGGAGGCATGACTCAAGATATAGCAATACCCACTTGGAAATGGGAAGATGTCAACATGGATTTTGTTGTGGGTTTGACTCGCACTCGAAGGCAACATGATTCGATTTGGGTTATTATTAATAGAAGGAACAATTCAGCCCATTTTATTCCCTTTAAGACTACTTGTTCGGCTAAAGAATATGCTAAATTATACCTTAAGGAGATTGTGAGAATGCATGTGGTTCGCTTGTCTATCATCTTGGATAGGGGTGAATTTACTTCTCATTTTTGGAAGGCATTCTAAAGTGGACTTGGCACTAATTTTCATGTGCAAATAGATGGTTTGGTGGAACGAACCATCCAAACCCTATAAAATATGTTGAGGGCATGTGTCATTTACTTTAAGGGCAATTGGGATAACCATCTACCATTGATTGAATTTGCCTGTAATAATAGTTATCACTCAAGTATTGTTGTGGTTCAATTTGAGGCTTTTTATGGGAGAAAAATGTAGATCCCCCATTGGGTGATTTGAGGTAAATGAGTTTGCTCTGATAGGTCCCGAAGTAGTTTATGAGGTCGTGGAGAAAGTCCGACTCATAATGGATAGATTGAAGACGGCTCAAAGTCGGCAAAAATCCTATACCAACAATTGGAAAAGAGACCTTGAGTTCATGGTAGGTGACTTGGTCTATTTGAATATATCACCCATGAAAGAGGTGATGAGGTTTGGGAAGGAGGGGAAACATAGCCCCCGGTATGTGGGGCCATATGAGATTTTGAAACGCATCAAAAGTGTTGCCTATGAATTGAAATTACCTATTAAGTTGGCTCAGGTGCATTTGGATTTCTATGTGTCCATGCTCAAAAAGGGCATAGACGTCAAGTGTCTACCCTTCCTCAATAAGATGTAGGAGTTGATGCTAACATTTCCTATAAAGAGGTCCCGGTTGAGATTTTAGACCAGCAAGTGAAGAGGTTGAGAAATAAGGAAGTAGCTTCCGTTAAGGTTTTACGGAGGAACCATCTTGTGGAAAGTACTACTTGGGAGGCCGAGACCGATATGATGTCCCGTTATCCTCACATTTTTCCTTCTACTCCTATTTAAACTTGAGGTAACAAGTTCCTTCTAAATTTTAGTATTTTGGGAGTTATATATGTCATGTGTAGATTTTCATGATTTTCCCTATAAGTTGCATGTTCTTGTGAAAAAATCATGTTTTAGTATATATATTGAGTTTTCATGATACCTATGTTTCTCATGTTGAATTGCATTTAGTATGATGGTTGCAATTTGGTTCATGAGGTAAAATGGTGAGCATGTTGTAGATGTGTTGATAAAGTCACAATTTTGCTCTAAATTTTTGTGTTGAGAATAATTGAGGTGGAGAAGTTAGATTGTCCTATACTTAGTGAGTTAATGAGTACTTTCATATTGAGTTGATAAAAGTAGTTACTACCCACTTGTGTTGCTTTGCCCGTGTGGTGGTTTGATGGGTCTTCTATCCTCGATAATGGTTCAAGTGGTGAATAGTGCAATTTAGGTTTGTGCACATTTTTAAGGTTATAAGTTTTGTGGGTTGTTGGCATGGAGTTTTAACTTGGATGAATCCTTGAGAGGTTTTTTTTAGTGATTTGTTATTTGGTTATTTGTTTACTTTCAAATTTTTATATTTCCAAACCCATTTTAAGTTGGGCAACTTAAGCTTTGAGACTAACTTGAAAATTATTCATATTCTTTCATAGTTAGTATTTAGCTTTTTTTTTAATCCACGTCGATTGTGTCGCTCATTTTGACTCAAAAACTTGACCCAAAATATTGTGAAGTTAAAATTTTATTTTGGCATTTTAACATTTGAATTATTTCATTATTTGGGATAATATAAATGTACAAGTATCAAAAGATTCCCCAATTTCAAAATAATAAGATTTTAAAAGTAATTTAGGTTCTGTTTAAAAATTAGCCAAACTTTTAAATCCCTCGATCAACCGTGTGTTTGCGGATTATCTAAAATGCCTAAACCCTTTTAAATGATTTTCTTAATTTCCTAAAAAATTAAGTGGCGATTCTTAAATTATAACTTTTTTTTTCAAAAACTTAACAAAATTGCCAGAGTTGCGAAAATCGACTTCGAAATCCTTAAGTTCTCGAAATTGGTCCGTACAAAGAATATAGTCCTTTGACTGTTTGACAATTTATAAAAATGGCCCTTGGCCGGCCAATTTCCCCAAGACCCCAACGTTATAATTTATGGGGAATTGATTACAAATAACAAATCACTAAAAAAAACGTCTGAAGGATTCATCTAAGTTAAGAAGAGAAACACTTGAAATTGTTATACTTCACAATCAAATATAATAAAGAAAACATAGCACTGACAAGGAGGGAATAAGAAAACGCGGTGGTTCAACCCGATTTCGCTCCTCGTTTTCTGCCTTTTAGGGGTTTCTGTTGCTAATGGTCATTTTACCAAGCTTTAAAGTCCAAAATACCCATATTTCATCCCTTTAGGACTGTTATACTTTGCTAATAAGTTGTTGCCTTTGACAACAAATGGATCTTTAAATCCAAAATCCTTCAAATTTCAGCCTCTTAAGGCTGCTGCAATCTGCCCTGTTTATTGGGTTTTAAACTCAATAAATATAACTTCTCTTTCACGATTCCAATGGAGGTTGACTCGAGAACAGGTAAATGCAAGAGAGGGGAGACTCATTCGGAGAGAGTTCATGCGAAGAATGAATAAGAAAAGGAATTAACAAGTAGATTAGCTCTAAAGAAAACATAATGAACTAAAATTCTTGTCAAACTAACCAAGCTTGAAACACATTATCATTGTTAGTCATAGCTTTTTCAAAACATTAGTATGGCAAACTGGACAGATTTTTTAGAACAAGGAAAAACTAACTCAATAGACAAGTCATCAGAAGGCGAAAGAAAAAATAAAATAAAATAAATGAGGGATCAGAGAACATAAAACCAAAGCATTCAATACTAAACATCACATATCAACCTTCTTAAGCAAGGCACAAGACAAAGAAAACTATTTTGAGAAATGAAGAAAAGTTGGAAATAAATTATACATACAGAGAAGCTATATGTGAACTTAAACAAGATTATAGTATTCTAATCTACATCAAAACATACAAAACTAAAATTAAAACAAGCAGACAGCTCTGGCTCTTTTTATCTGTATCTAATACGATTCGGAATAAATACTAATAAAAACAAAGCACAAAGATAGGAGAAGTTTCTAAAGAGATAAAGTAAAACACCAGCCTTGTGTCTATTTAAACAGATTCAGGTTTCAATCTGACATTGTTAAGTCATAAATAACTTGCCTCTAACTTGTGAAATTACCAAACTTTAATTGATTTTTAACAAAGAGTAAACAATCAACATAATTAACAATGTACCAACATATGTTATCATTTAGCTGCATAATTGACTTATAATAAATCTAGGTAACTAAGCATAACAGAACTTCAAAAACTGTACTTGGAAGAAATCATTGTAAGGCTAACATACTCTACCATTTCGAAAATTGAGAAAATCAACAAAAAGATCACAACTAGTAAAGCAACACATGACCTTTGATCTCTTAAATAGCTACAAGTTTAAACGAATAACCAGCAATTAGGACGAATTCCAAACCAAGTCAATACACGATGTTTAGGATCTATAGCTAGAAGGAGTGACATGAGGATCTAAGGAATTTAGGAGAAATCAAAGAGAAGTCTGGAGCTCAACTAATCCTAGGATTAACTCATGACTCCTGAAAGAATAAGATCCTTAATAGGACGAACAATGGCAACAATGATAATAGACATTTGATGATACATAACTGTTACAAATAAAGATGGTGAAACTTATAGTAAAGCAAGGCAATCAAACTAAGCTTACCAAAACCTTTGAACTTCTTAAATAAAAAACATGATGTAGCCAAACCTTTAAACCCAAGAGAAGACACAAAATACATAATTATCAACTCAAATATATTCTTACACATGTATTCTTAGTAAAATAAGCAGCTGATAATTCTAAAAGGGGATTTGAAGGCTAACTGTTAAAACTAATTCAATAATATGAAGGAAAAAATGAAACCAGTAGTAAAACTAATGACCATTCAATCATACAGCTTACCATAACTCTTGAAAGCACAAATGGATACCAAACAATTAAGAAGTCAAACACTTAAACAACAACAAGAATAAACATCAAAACAGAATAAACAATTTGATTTCTTAAACTTAACCAGGTAAAGGGAGAAAAGGGATGGGGGCATGAGCTGTAACAGTAGACTTTAGATACATATATGACGCCATGTTACAAAATGCACAAGAGAACACAAATTGCAGACTATCTCAGAGGCAAATGTGATAAAACTTGAATAAGGAATTTACCAATGTGACACGAAATCACAAGGAAAAGTCACATCTTAGTTATAATTAAACACATAAAGATAGTAGGAACTAATTATGAAAACAAAGAACCGAAAAATAATGAAAAAAGATATTACTAAACAATACCCATCATCCAAATTCTAACATACAGAGACTAAACACGACTAAAACACATACCAACCCAAGGATACATAAACAGAACGGAACTAGAGATTAAAAGGAAACAAAATTAAAGAAAAAATTTACCTCTTTTCGGCAGCGAACCGGATGACAGTTTAACGAAGACGATTCCACCACCTCTCTAAACTCGAATAGCCACAAAAGCCACAAACTATGGAACCAAGAATTCCCAAGACCTCTATGGGTACTCTTTGATCTCCAAAAATCCTCCTTTAAACAGTGAATGGAATGGGTTTATATAGAAACCCAAAAATCCCAAAATAAAATGAAATCTCGATGTGGAACTGTTGCAAATTCAAAATCGTTTGAGAAACGATGTGGGAGAGGCTGAAATCTCCCATTTTCATAGTGGATAAAGTGTATGAGCTGGAGAGTGTACGAATTTGAGGCGAAAAACGAAGACAAAAAGGAAATTAAGAAGGACCACACCATGGTTGTCTCCGGAAGCTCTGCGTGTCTTTTCGCTCATGCTAAGCACGTAGATTGTACGAATTCGAGGGAGAGAAGAGTAAATTGAGGCTGGGAATTGGGGAATGGTTTTCTTCTTTGGTTTGTTCTGTTCTTGCATCTCTGTATTGAGAATGAGGAGGAGAAGAGTATGGAAAATTTTGAGCTTTAGAATGGACCGGGTCACTGGAAAAATATTGGGTTGAGCTATTTGATGGTCCAAATTTTGAGCGAATAGATCACTGAATTGAAAGTTGAATGACTTGGTCCTTTGACCCTTTCTTAAATAAATTCCAAGATAAATAAATTACTATTTACTTAACTATCTGAGCTTCTTAACTTCAACAATATAAAATAATGGGATAATGTCCAAGTACCTCCTCAATCTATGCCCGAAATCTCAGAGACACGCTTATACTATACTAAGGTCTTATTACCCCTGAACTTATTTTATTAATAATTTTTTACCTCTTTTCGACCTACATGGCACTATCTTGTGGGCCCAAGGATGGTTGACTTTTTTTTTTCAAATTAGTACCACGTAGGCTAAAAGGTGTCGAAAATTACTTATAAAATAAATTCAGGGGTAATAGGACCTTAGTATAGTATAAGTGTGTCTCTGGGATTTCGGACATAGGTTGAGGGTACTTGTGCATCATCCCTAAAATAATTATTAAATAGAAAAATAATTATAGTTATTCCAAAATAAAGAGACTAGTTATGTACTCTATCGATCTTTCAAAGAAATAAAATGCACACTTAGTTAAACTCTATTTTTAGTAAAACTATCCTTTTTAAAGTGGTTTTCGAAAGATTCGTAAATAATTATTTCAAATTGTTTGAAATTAAAGAATCTTGAAAATTAACTAAATTGTGGAGGGTCAAAATTAGGTGTCAACATTCTTTAATTCCAAATTTTCAACATATCATCACAATTCACAAACAATTTCTAAAAACTATATATACATAAGTTTGAGAATATATAAGTTTGAGAATATATGTTTGGTAACTTCGTTCAACTCTAATTTTATATTTATTTTTTATATTTATTATTTGTAACTTGTAAGTTGTTCTTAATATATTATTTGTTCTTATTAAATTTCGTATTTTGTAATTTATAATTTTATATCATGAAGTCTTCTAAAAAAGTGGAGGTAAAAAAGGTCAAGTAGAATCAGTAAAAAATTTAGTTACAAAAAAATAAAATTAAAGGTGCTAGTTCTTCTAAATCTAAATTTTCTCTTGTTAGTATTAATATGGATGAATTTATGCATATGAATAAAACTAGTTTTTCCCGTCCTAGTCCTATAGATATTAATTTGAATACTCCTATGATTCCCCATGAACTTTATGAAAGACATTATGGTATTAATCAAGAAAATGAAGAATTAGATATTGATGAAGAATTAAATTTAGATAAAGAAGTAGATTTAGATGACACACCGACTAGTCCCGACCTCAATAGTACAGGTACTGAAGTTCCACCTCCGGTTGAAACTACTCGTCCCCCTATTATTCCAACTAGAGGTAAGACCAAAAAACAACGTTCTTTAAAATCACGTGTGGGAATTTTGTCCTTTGAATGAAGAAAATACTTTAGTATATGTAATATTTGTAAACAACATTTTAAATATACATATGGTGGGAGTGGAGGTTCAACGGAGGGACTAAAAAAATATTTGATTAACAAGCATAGTAAAGAGTGGTTTGCATATATGTCTTCTCTTGAAGTTGGTGATAATTCTAGCATTGAAGCATCGATTAGAGGATCAAATATGGTTCAAGGTGAATTAAATACTTGGAACCCAAGTGGTCCTCTTACACATCGAACCTATAACAAGGATCGTGATCGTGAAAATTTTGCTAAAATAGTTGTTGTTTGTGATTTACCTTTTAGTTTTGGAGAACAATCGATTTTTATTGCATATATTCGTGAAACATATAATCCTAGTTTTAAAGATTTATCAAGAAGCATGGTAAAAAGAGATATTTTTGAATTTCAAGAAAAACATTGTCAACATTTACGTGCCTATTTTGAACTAATAGATTGTAGAGTTGATATTACCACTGATATGAGTCGTAGTCCTAGTGGTTTTCATTATTTAACTGTTACTGCGCATTGGATTGATTATAATTGGAATTTACAAAAAAAGAATTATTGGTTATAAAATTTGTCAAAAGAAAAAAACTGGAATGTATATTGCTATTATTGTGTTGAAAATTTTAGTTTCTTTTGTTCTTTGTGATAAAGTCATTAGTATTACTTTAGATAATGATTCTGCTAATTTTAAATGCTATTAATATGCTAGAACCTAGACTTCGTCCTACTAGTAAATATGTTTTTCATGTTAGATGTGTTGCGCATATATTAAATTTGGTTGTTAGTGACGGTGTGAAATTATTTGAATATAGTTGTGATAAAATTGATAATGCTTGTTTTTATATTTTTCATATGAATAGTAGCAATATAATTAATCAATTTAAAAAGCTTTGTAATGCATTTAAACTTCCATTTAGAAAAGTTCCGAAGCATGTAAAAACTAAATGAAATTCCTTTTATGATATGCTTGAAGTTGCTTATACATATAGATAATCTATAACTACGCTATTTAATAATCATATGTTTATTCTGAATTTAAACTTGATGATAGTGATTGGGATGAAGTAAATGAACTTAGAATATTTTTGAATTCATTTTATGATGCTACTAACGTTTTTTCTGGAATATATTATCCTACTATTTCTGAATTTTTAATACACATATGTGAGATTTCATCTATTTTTTCTGAATATTAAACAAATAATTTATTTACCACTGCTATTGAAGTTATGATTACAAAATTTAAGAAATATTTTTTTTCTATCCTTCAAATTTTATTTAACTGCAAATCTTTTCAACCCCGAATATAAAGAATATGATGAAAAGTTTTAGTTGAATGCATTTATCATAATTTAGATGTTAAATCAGAAGAAGAACCTGCTTTGCTAACATGTCAAAATAGTATAAAATTACTTGCTAAAGAAATGTATGATAAATATTCTTCCTTAGATAATGTTGAAAATCCCCAAACGTCTACGCCTCAAGTAGGTGCTCATGGACGAATGAAACATAAACTTGATCTTGACTCTTCTAATAAATGTGAATTTGCTAAATATCTTGAACAGGGTTCGGATGATATTACAAACGATGAAGGTATACCACAACTATTGAACTTGTGGAACTCAATTTTTAAAACTTAATAGGATAGTGAAGGATGTGCTTGCAATTCAAGGATCATCAGTAACTTCGGAGGCAGCTTTCAGCGCGGTAAGATTTCAAATTAGAGACCACATATATTCGTTAGCAGAAGACAGCTTGGAGATATCGGTGTTGTTTAGAGATTGGATAAATGTTGAGCGGCGAAATCAAGGACTTCCAAAGTTAGATAGTCAATTTGAACTTTTTCATAAATTCAGCCATTGGATTTGGTAGTGACGATGGTATCGAACTTCAAAATCGTCAACGAGCATTACCAAGACCAGAAATTGATTACGGTCAATTTGTAGCTGAGTTGGAAAGAGGATCTATGGGACTATACAACTAGTAATATTACATTCGAGACTTAGTTGAAACAGAACCCTTCCTAGAAGGTGTCTGCGTAAATTATGCACTCTACTAATAGTTGTAAATTGAAATTGTAATTTGTAATACAAATTTAAATAAATTAAATTGATATTTTTTATCTGTATAGTTGTTTTATCCTTACTTTTATTTAATTTTTTTAAAGTTACAAATTTAATTTATTTATATTACAAGACACTCATTATAAATATAACTTATAACTTATAAATATTAATAAATAATAAGTAATAACTTATAAACTTTAAAAGATTTAAATCTTGAAAACTTAATTAGACTTAACTTGCGAACATATTAAGTAAAATTTTTTATTAAAATAAAATTAAGTAAAAAATTATATTATAAATCTAAAAACTATCGATTTAAACTTAGAAAAAATAAAAAAACATTCATACTTTCGTAATTCAAAAAAATCATTTTTTGAAATAACTAGATGTGTCATCCCGTTTATCTCATCCCGTTCATTTCCGGTTTCATCCCGGTATATAGTGGGACAGGATGAACCGAATATTCGTCCCGATAATTTCGATCCGATATCACGATACCGATCGACGGGTCTCGTTCCGATCCGGTACCTGTTCGTTCCGGTCCAGTGATCCCGTTCCAGTCCTTTGTCCAGTCTTAGCTGAGATTGGACCAGATATGGTAAAATGATGTACCAATAAAAATTTGAAAAGATCAAGTACTAGTTCGTTGACTATTGAAGCGATTGATGAAATGATTTTGTATAAATGGTGTCTCGTTGGAAAATACTGCAGGAGATAAATATGATGAACAAAGTCAACCAATTAATGATGCCCCTAAAGCAAATGTCTCTTCAAAAGTATCAACTGATCAAAGAAATAAGAAATCTAAACATAATCATTTAGAAGACATGGCTGATATGTTGAGAGGTAACATGGATAATTTGACTCATGTCATTAATCGACTTTCAACTATGCCAAATATTTCTGAAAGCGAGACCTGACAAATAATAAAAGAGATGAATTGAGAATCTCATATGAACTCAAAGGTTTATAGATTTATTTATCAAGATGCAAGTACATGTCGCACATTGATGGAATATCCACAGGAAGAACACGAGTCTCTTCTATTGACCATGATGCTAGCACATCATTAAGTTTAGATTAATTTATTGAATTTTAAGTATTTTTGATTTTATAAACATATGAATATTTTAGTTTTGACAATTATATATTGTGCACTTTAAGTCAAATTATTTGAATTATTTTTTTTGTTATGAATATTTATAGCATATATCATCGGTATTATTATCAGTATAATCTAAGTTAAGAATCAAGTGATATACATAGTTTTACATCTACATTATTGTAAGTTGATATGGATAATTGATTTAACAATTTATGAACGAATTAAAATTTATAGTTAACGATCTAGAGTTACAATTGGTGAATGAATAAATAGATTAATTAGTTAATTTGTAAAGAGCAATATTTTCTCATCTTTTCATTATTTTTCAAATTTTCTTAATTAATATGGTACGTGATAATTTTTAGAATTGAATATAAATTTTTTAATTTTATCAACTTTTTAATTAATTCAATCTAGATAGAAACGTGATAATAATGTTTGATAATATATAATTGATACAATTTTATGTTATTTTCATATGACATAAAAGAATATGCATGAATGATCAATAATTTTGTTTATGTTATAAATTCATCGAATGAGTGGATAGTCCATAAGGTTGGTAC